TGATGAGAATGACTGAGTGTTGGGTTAAACCCAAGTTACCTTCACATGTGATAAAATGTAAGCTATTTTATTTCCCACATGTGGCAATTTCTATGATTAAGGGTAATTAATTTCTCTGGCAATTGTAATTAATAATTTCTGTCCTACTGTTTCAGGAAATTTCATCCCAAAAAGGCAATGGACAACTGTTCATTGTAAATAATAAAAGCTTTTTTTTCATGGAAAGATCTTTCAAAACAATTAGCAATTAATGAAAGGTATGCAAGTGCCCAGAAATTGCAAATGCTCAATTTCAAATGACATGGCCTTTAGCTATCCATCCAGCAAAGAGAAGTACTTTAAAATCTAAAAAATATTGCTAACAAAAATTAGAAGAGAGAAAGTAATTACTCATATATAAAGTTCCATGCAAATGTTAGAAACATAAATTAAAATAATGAAGTAATCACAAAACAAGTAGAGAGAGAATCAATTAAGAAATTGTAATAGATGTTTATATTGACTATGTTTAATTTTTGTCCCTAAACCCAAAGTAAATAGTTTATATATCTCATACTTTATATAATCTCATACTCTATATTTATCTCATATTTTATATTTACCAGAAAAAAAAGTTGATCTATAGAAAATTGACCTGTATCTAAACTGCCCATTCCTCATGCACTAAAATCAGATTTTTAATTTTGTGATATCATAATTTCTCAAGTACTAGGAAATCTTCTCCATTATCAAAACTAATTTTCACCTCTGCTAAGGACTTTCTTAGATTTGGATTACAAATATATGTTTTTATTACACCAGAGACCTTAACTGACTAATTTTTAAGACTGAGTCACTACCTGGAAGACAATGATAGCATTGTGATAGATCTAAATAGAAAATGATTTCTACTCTTCTCTTTGGCCGTTTCTGCAGAATCCTGGGTCAAGACCTCCTGTCGGTCAATTCTCACACCAGCTCTGCTAGTCAGTTCTAAAGGGTTCCTTCCATTTCAAACCCATTAGCAATCCCTAAATTTCAACCAAAATCAGAATTAGGCGGTGATATGTACCAGAAAATTATTCAACACATCAGATTTTGTTCAAAGGTGAATCATTTTCTATCATAGGCAATTGTTTGCCTAACATGCTACTTGTATCTCTTAAATATTCTTATATGTCTGAATTGTATTTTATTCAGTTTATTTGGTCCATTCATCTCCATGGGGCTGATTTTAAACCTGTTTTCCTCCCTATATGGACAAACAAGTCATCTGTAATGAAGACTCTGTAGGGAGTTGTCACAGACATTTTTGTCTACCACACACCCCATCTTAGATGTCTGTTCTGTTATAGGTCTTCCTGACATTCCTGTGTTGACAAAGCACCAACTCCCTGATGAAAATTAGGTTATCACTCCGTGGACAACCATCACTAACTGAAACTCTAGAAACCAAACCATGGAACACCAAGAATAAATATAGTAAGAATTGTTTCACATGCTGTATATGACATATAAAATACACCATTTGTCTTACTCTTATTAAAATGGAATATTTTCCTTTACCTGGTCAATGTCAATTAGTTATAGTTAAGCCACAGTCTTTTGTGACATGTGACATGTCTCTCAATAAAAGGAAAAGCATATCATAGGCCTACTTCTTAGCTGTGACATGCTGTCCAGGCTCTGGTATGCCTCAAATTGGAAAATATGCTTTTCCCTTCACAAAGAGAAATAGCACATGCCACAAAGACTGTGAACTCTGCAGGGTTATTTACTCACGGTTTTCTGAAACTGAAAATACCTGTTTTTAAGTCATATGTTATTAATATATGTAACTAATATATTAATTTTTTAAAAAAGGCATTCCTCTGATAGCAATTTATTTAGTGCTATAATAAGCCCAAGCAACTGCTGTTCTTTCAACTACTCTATGCTATTTTATTTTAAATCTCAGGTAACATGTCCTTGAGGTGAATTGTTACAGTTATCTGGCTGTCTTCAAACTTTAGACTGAATGTCTGAAGCAGTGGTTCTCAAACTTGTTTTCACATCCAAACTATCTAGGAGATTCAAAAACATACCAATACCTATATTTCCACCCCAAAGACTGCAAGTTCATTTGTCCCAGTGTGACCTGAGCTTAAAATTTTTTAATATATCCTGAGATGATTCTAATGTACAACCAAGTTTGGAAACCACTGGTGTACAGGAATATTGATTAACTTACCACCATGTGGATATTAGGCAATATTTACTATCATCTCATTGCTATCTGACAGAGTCAGAGAATGATATTCAGACTAATTAACCTTACCAGTAATTGCTACTACATAGTAAAATGCCAAGCATTTTACCAACATTTTATCTAATCCTCACAACATTCCTACACGATAGGTCTTATTATTCTCACATAGTAGATAGGGGAACTAGAGGTCTGAAAGTTTAGGTTGTTTACCCAATGCCATCAACTAATAAACGGTAGGGCTGGTATTTGAATCCATGTCTGTTTGACACTAAAAGACCCGTTCTTTACACTATGTCATACATTTTCAGTAGAGGTTATACCACCTCCAAGGAAATAAAAATTAAAGGAAGTAGACATCAAAAAATTCTTAGATAATACAATGGGTTGTGGCCCTCCAAAGTTCAATTTTGCTGATGAAATCTTTTTCTTTAATATTTTATTTCTCTTATTGAAGAAAATTTAAATTTAATTTTATTTTTCTACTTAGGAGGATAATTGTGAGAAAAAAAAAGTTGAGAAACAGTGCACTATACCATACTCTGCCTCCAACCATTTTGGTTAATAATGAGTTAACATGTACACTACTCACATGCCACATACATATTATCTACATATTGTCTACATATATACATTATATAGAATACATGTAGAGAAAATGGCTCTACCTTCAATTTTATTTTATTTTATTTTTAATTCTTTTAATGTTTGTTTATTTTGAGAGAGAAAGAGAGAGAGAGCAGGGGACGGACAGAGAGAGTGGAGAGAGAGAGAATCCCAAGCAGGCTCTGCACTGTTAAGCACAGAGCTCAACACAGGGCTCAATCCCACAAACCATGAGATCTTGACCTGAGCCAAAACCAAGAGTTGGATGCTTAACCAACTGAGCCACCCAGGCACCCCTCTCCTCAATTTTATAATTCCCAAGTTGCACTTATATTTGAAAAGAACCACAGTATAAACAAAACTATATATGTTATAGGTCCCCAAGATAGTAATGATAGGATAGGAAGTAGTAAGTCCAAAGAGTATTATCTAAAAGTCTTCATGAATATCTATTATATTGCTACTCTAGCATTATACCAGTAGGTTGTTGTTTCAAAAACTTGGAAATTTCCTGGGTGAAATCTGAAACTGGCCCAGTATGTGAAGGGCAAGGAGAGATCAGAGAAAAAGGGAGACCACACCAGATTGGTAGGTGACAGGTTTAGCATGGGAATTTACTTACAAGGCTTATCTTGGGTGGCCACAAGGTGAGTAGATCTCCATACCCACCCACCAGAATCTTAAAAGTTTATACAAAGGCCTGAACTGGGTTCAATCACCTATTCCATCCTGATGGTCTCAACAACACATTACTTTCTCAAGGCTGTGTCCTTGAGGCAGTCTGTAATGTGGCAAAGACAATCAGAACACGTTTCAAGTATATAGGAGAAGGTTAGGAGTCTCCAATTGCCTGGGCCCAACTTGAGGGTCAACTGGTGGTTATGTCCACTTGATGAGCTCCTTCAAAATAAATACTAGAGGAAGCTTTCTCTGATATGACATGGCTAAATGTGAAATTATTTCAAAGTTTTAAATATCTGGAGGCAAAAATCAAATCATTCAATTTTGTATCTCCTATAGCACAGCACATCATATAAACTAGTCAGTCAAAAATTAAATAGAAAATGGAATTTCCATTACCATACTGAGGTTATCAATCACATAATCAAATACACACAATAATAAAACAATTTTAAGCAAATTTTAATTAGTCTTCACTGATTTAGAAGACGTTTTTCTACTTTCTCTAGAATCATTAATTTTAAAACATTTTTATTCTGTAACAGATGGAAGCGTAGCACAAAAAAACTTCAAATTTAATATCTCCTCTAAAAAACTAGTAAGTTGATTTACCAAGTTGTCACTACTGTCCTATGAATAACACATAAAGAGGCATTTGAGGATACTAGCAAGTGCTCAAATATTGAACTCAGACTGGCTGAAGTCAATGATAAAGGCTACCCTACAGCAGGCTGAAAGGTCACCGTTAGGAAGGTGACTCTTTAAGCCAAAGAGTCAACATGTTTATGCTCCTATCAAGGAAACATAGAAATTGTGACAATCAGAAGCATGGTGTCATAATGCTTATTTGCCCAAGGCAAAGAGGGCTCTGAACAATGTCCTCAAAAAAGTTATTGCTTTGAAACTCACAACCCAGTAATTAAGAAGAACTTCTTTGTGAGCAGCATTCTAGAAAAATACTCTGAGGTTTCTAGCTAGTGAAATAAAAATTATTTGAGAATGTTACCCAACTTCAATGTGAAGAAACAGGGTAGGACCTTAGCTGGCCCAGCCTGGATCTTGTGTGGCCACCCTTGGACCAATCACTGTGGCTTGAATGTCCAGACTTGAATTTTGTGGCCTCCTCCATAGACAAAAAGTTGGGGCCTTGTGATTGGTAACCCCACCAGAATCACACAATTTGAGGGAGAAAGGAACAGTTCTTATAAGACGGGGTAGGAGGCATGGTTACAAGAATCAGGAATGCAGGACAGACAAAAGTAGCAGATATCTACTACACCAATGATGTGTATACAAATAATCTAGAGACCCTGTTAAAATGCAGATTATGATTCAGAAGGCCTGAGGCAAAGCCTGAGGTCGTATATATCTAAAAAGTTCCTAGGTGATGTCACAGTCCACACTTTGAATAACAAAGCACTAACCTTCTTTTTCTATGCATTGCCCACCTATGTTTAATGTGGTAGATGCTCTAAAGTTTCAGACTCACCCACAGTAATGAATGCAATCTGACATGCTTGTCTGAATATGATGCCTTCTCAGGACCAGCTGTGTCCCCGTCACAACACTGAAATAGCAGAGGTGTTGCATGTCAGGATCGAGACATATTGGCAGAACTCTGTGATAAAAACACTTTACAATTTCATAGCACCTTTCATTCCAAAGTGTTTCAGAAGCTATATACATTCAGCACCACAGAAAGATGATAGAGGCAGCAGACTCCATGGGGTGAAGGAGGTGTCAAGGGATGGAGTGGGGGTGGAGGGATAAGTAGGCCAAGGACAGTGGAACGTTTCTCTATTAAAGGCAACACAACACCAAAATATTCTCAATGGAAAAGAATAAAACCCAAAGATATTTAAGGTTCATGACCAAAGAATGATAATGTAAAGATTAATGTTCAGAATCATTTTTCATACAATCATCTTCTCTCAATAAATTGCCTATTCACATGGGTATTCTGTAAGCACAGAGGAAAAGAAGAGAAAAGAAAAGAATGAGCTAAACAAACAAGAATACTTAAGATACCAGGAAATCTATAAGGCCAGTAACTCTGGCCTATATAGACTATCTGAGTCTTCTTGATTAAACAATTAAGTCCTAAAATGTTAGAAGTAGCTTTTCATAACATATTTAGTGGCATGGGAAGTAGCTTTGTTTGCACAGAATTTAGTAAAAGAAATGATTTTTCCAAATATTACAAAATGCAAACATCTAACTTAACTTTAATATACCTGATGACAATGTGGATAATTTGTATATGTTCTGGAGGGGGGGAAAGTCATTTTATGAAAGAGCTTGAAAATGGAAACTTTTTAATGACTCCTGGAGTGCTTGCCTTTAAAAGAAATCCATTTTCTAGCACTGCTGTTTCCCATTTGTTACCAAGGACTCCTGCGGGGCTTCCAGTGACTTGGAAAGAGTTCTATTTTCACTTCTGCTGGCTCCTGTGACCACATCCAGATGATAAATGAGGACCCACAAGCTCCCACAAGACAGTTTCAAAGAGTCTGTGCTCCAGGCAGTATGTGGCTACCTGCCAGGGAAGCACATACCAAATTAAAAGGGCGAGGAGAGAAATCCTTCGCTATTTCATGTTTCCTGGGATTTCCAATGAACTCATTGGGTTAGTCTTCTTTTTTTTTTTTTTTTTTTTAATGTTTTAATGTTTACTTTTTTTGAGAGAGAAAAAGGCAGAGCACAAGTTGGGGAGGGGCAGAGATAGAGGGAGACACAGAATCCGAAGTAGGCTCCAGGCACCAAGCTGTCAGCATAGACCCCGAAGTGGGGCTCAAACCCACAAACTGTGAGATCATGACCTGAGCCGAAGTCAGTCATTTAAATGACTGAGCCACGCAGGCACCCCAATTGCATTAGTCTTCTTTATGAAATGTTTTAGTAAATGTCCTTATTTGTGAACATTCACAAAAACCTCAAGATAACAAGGAAAAAGAAAACAGGATTCTTAGACCAGAAATCTATCTTTCCACTCCTTTTTATTCACTATCCTATCTTTTCCCCTCCCACTTTCACTTGAGACAAGGTGGTGAAACCTTCCCCAGCCAGCAGATAACAGTGGTCACTCCATCAGGAGGATGTAATCTTGAATCACAGAGTTATTGCTTTGTCAGAGGAAAAAAAAGCATGCTACTCATATCCCACAAAGAGATTTTCCATTAGGGAAAATCATTAAAATGCCCCATTGCCTGCCCCCTCACACTGTAATTCTGGGCTACAGGCACAGTTCTGCTCAAAAGCCTATTTTTATAAATGATGAAAAGTAACTGATGCATCTGGTTATCTCTCAGAATTTTGTCAGTTCCACAACTAGAAATGGTGCTGCCAGGCTCACTCCAAAGGAAGCTAGTGGTGAAGTGTAGGCTTCAGATAAGGATTTACACTGAGAGCCCAGCTCCAGAAACTGCACAAAAGATTATAGATATGAGACAGGCAAAGAGAAAGGTGCAATCATAAAATTAGAGTTAATGCAATCTTATGGAAAAATGAATACATTCCATTTTGGTTTACTACACATTTGACATTGGCACAGAAACAAAACTGAATATACACCTTGAGAATTATAATACATATAACTACCAGCTTGGAATAACAATATAAAAAGAAAAGAAAGTTATGAGTTAAATGGCACATTTTAAGCAATGAAGTCTTTGGAATTAAATCTTTGTTTGACTCATCATTTGACTAACTGATAGTCCATTTGTTTCTCAAAGATTTAAGTTGGCTCAACATTTAATTAATGTCAAACACATAAATATGGATTTATGCATCCAGGCACAGTTCTAGGAATTGGGACTCTTAGCAATCAAGACAACTATGGCTTTGCCTCTTAAAGTTTCCTTCTAACATTATGGTCTGGTTGACCATGAGGAATGTAATTGTCCCAGTATGAACTACTGAAACTAGAACAGTACTATTGATACCTTTATCATACTTACATCATCTGCTACCTTTTAAACACATATTTACTGAGTGGAAGTGTTTATCTTTAACACAAAATTAACCATACCAATCTGTACAATCTGTAAATTTTAACAAGTTTTCTTCTGCTGACTGAGTCTACACTCATTAAAGACACCTTAACATGGATAATAAAATATTTTCAGAGTTCAGGTAACAGTTCAGTGTAACTTAATTTAACTCCAAAAACACCTATTAATGGTCTTTAAGTGTAAAGCATAACGTGTGGCCCCGAAAGAAGCACAAAACCAATTAAGATATGGTGCCTACTCAGGCTGTTTGAGTAGCATTCAGGAGATATTTACATGAAGAACAGGAATAGAAATTAGAATAAGGTGTACACTGTAACATAGGTTTAAATTTATGCTCCAGGTATATGGGGAAACAAAAGTTTAACTTTAGCTAAGACAACTGGAAAAGATCTCTACAGCAGCTGAAATTGCAAAAATGCCATGAAGAATGAATTAAGCTCATCAAGCAGATTGGGTAAGGGCAGAAGGGTATAATGGTTAAGAACGGTTAAGTGACAGAATTCTGGCAATCTTTCCTACTACCTATAAAACTTGGTCTGGTTTCTCATTTGTGAACAGGGACAATGTAAAAATATATCATAAAGATGCTATAAATATTAAATTAATATGATTCATGTAAAATCTTTTACAGAGTGCCTGTTATATAGTGCTCAATAAATATTAGTTTCTTTTATTATTATAGAGTAAGAGTGGAGGAAGAGGAGTAGGGAAGTATAGAATAGCCGAAGAGGCATGTGCAGGGCTTATTGAAAAAGGAACCTTGAGAAATAGATTATTGAGGGCCTCAAAATACAAGAAAAGTAAATGGCCTTTATTAGAAAAGTAACAAAAAACCACTCAAGAATTTGGAGTAAAGGAATAAGTGACATAACCAAACCATAATTAAATTGTGTTTCACTCTTACCAATTTTAAGATATTTCTAATATCTTAGATATCAATAATCTATAATATCAACAATCAGGAATTTGGGTACTGCTAATTAATACTACTATTCACCAAGCACTTAAAATACACAAGCATTGTGTTCAGTACTGTGCATTTTTCTAAATCTTTACCAAAAAATATATATAAATCACGTATAACAGATATACATAACAAATGAGAAAACTAAGATGCAAATAGATTTTTAAAAATCTCAAGGTCACACAACTAAAAGAAAAGTGAACATTATACAACAATGAATTCTTCAACAAACTTAATAGTATGGTTCTGGTTTGTTCTATCCTAATGTATATCACACTTCATTGTATTTGACTGCTTGTCTGCTACCCTACTAGAGTGAAAGTTCCCTGAATTGGGGACTATACATCAGTCACCATTGTGATCCAGGCAATTAACAACCATGTTGTGAATAAATAAATAAATGAATAAATATAATTTTACGGCAGAATTTTCCTTAAATAGCATATTTATTAGCTTCATCTGAGTCATTGCAAGCCTGCTAGAGTTATTTCTAGAATATATGTACAGAGTTTTTACTTTAAACTTTTTAAACTTTATAACAGAATAGTTTTAGAAAGTTTCCTGGCCTGATTAATGTATTATACCCTTTAAAATATGAACAAAACAACACTTTCAGAATATTTGATTCATGCACCTTGTATCTGTGCCATCAACAACCTCATGGTTTTTGTTAAATACTTTATATTATTCTAGAGAGGGAAAGTTTCAAATTTCTATTCTTTGAGTAATCTTTTCCATGAAAAGGAAAAAAAAGGTATTTCTTAAAACAACTATATTTAGAGTTCTCTAGAGTCAATGTGACCCACATTTAGCCCAGTCAAAAAAGAAAATGTACAAAAAAAAGATAGAAATATGAAACACGATAATTCTAAAAATGGGTAATGAGTAAGGTTAAAAAAATACAAACACTTCAGATCATTTAAGTATGGGTTTTGTCTGGATGACTGATGTTGATTCTCTGGCTCCAGACTAATATGATATAAACAGAAATTATACTGTCATTTGTTTAATATATTGATATTGAAACTGATATTATCTATTACACATTACTATGGATAATCTTAAATGGCTTGGAATTTAAAAGAGGAAAGCCCATAAGACAATTTGATTTTTCCATAAGATTCACAACCCAAATTATTTTTTCTTTGGTTCAGCACAATCAATGTGAGGCTTATGATAATTCATAAACGCTAAAGGATAGCTAGAAAAATCAAGTTCTGGGATTTTTAAATCGCCAAGAATAATCCAAATAGAGAATGATGCAGACAGAAAATATACATATATATGTATCCGGATTGGATGATTACCAAAGATTTTAATTTCTGCATTATGACTTTTAAATATTTCATGTTTTCTACAGTTGTAATAAAGAATCCAATTCCATTTATAATGTTTGACTGCCAACAGCTTTTAACGTCCATCACCACCCTTCCCTTTCTGTCCCTCAAATGGCCAAGCTAATGAAAAGCCCCGGATGCTGCCTCCTTTGGTGCCAGTGGGAAGTTCAAACCACATAATCCCTGGGCCATGTGCCAGAACCCATGCCCTTGACCCATCCCCTAACTACAGTAAAAGCTAAACCAACCTCCTTTCCCT